CGATGTCAGGTTTCTGGTCCTCTTGAACGCGCAGCTTCTGATCCTGCAGGCGGAAATCACCCCTAAGGATGCTTCCCAAAAGCAAGTCGCCTTCCTGACCGCGGCGCCTGACACTGCCGAGTGGGCACTCGGGCTCGTGTTTTGAGCGCTAAGAACGCTACCACTTACACGGGGCACCCGGCCCGCTCCAACAGGGCGGGAGCCCGCGACTCACGTTGAGCTCCCGCAGGTTGGCGCCGACGACCCGCAGCAGGCGACCGCTCTCCTGCGCCTTCGCCTCTGCCGCCCGCACCAGCTCCGCGGCCGCCCGCACCTCACTGTGGTGTTTCGAGAGGAGGCTGTTTGCTGCTGCTTTCACCACCTCCAACTCTTCCTGTGGCTTCTGGTAATTTGTCTGAATCTGTGACAATAAATCCTCAGCAGCCCTGGTAAAATAATAGGCGGTTCACATGTAAAAACTAAACAACTAAGCTCGTATCACTGAAATGATCGTGGAAGGAACGTTCACACATCCATCCTGAGCCGCTGCTTCATGTCCTAAGACACATCGTAATCGCTTTTTCTAAGACACCTCTAGGCATGACAGATTCACACTATATCCCTGAACTCTGTCTGCAAACTTCCTAACACACTGTACACTAAGGGGGTTAACAGAAGCCATCTCAGTGAATCTGGATTCAAAATTGGGACCACACTCTGAATGATGGCCACTACAGCCTTTTATTATAAATAGAGCCAGAAACTGAAGAAGGAAAACTGTTCAGTGATTTGCTCTCAAGTTACCAACGCAGTTATACACTATAAAGAGTTTTCTGCAGCTAGTTATGAAACAGATTTTATAAAAAACTTTCAAATCCAAATTGCCAGAAAGATAATTTGTACCATTGATAAAAGCAAGCTTTAGGAAATCAAAAGGTATTTTCCCCATATTCTTTTATAAATGTGCTATCAAATTGCTTATTTAAATCAATTTTGAACTTAAAGTTATCTAGAATAAAATTTTCACGCTACAAATCTTTACAGTGGTTCAGTACATCCTATTAACTTCTTGCTTCAATTTGTCAAGAGGACTTTGAAAAATTTCATGGAAAATATCTTGTAAATCACCCTCAGCTTTCACAGATTATCAGATTGCTGGGCTGAAACACCACCAAAAACCCATTTTCCAATGATACATATTTGAATGCTGACATCATTAGAACATCATCAGGGATTATTTGAACATTCTTATCATTTTTAAAGATTAAAAAAAAGACAGCAAGATGATGCATTATGATACAGACAATAAGAACTAAAAAAAGTATATGGGGAACACACAAGGAAACCCAGAATATTTCTAACATCTGGCCGTGAATCTGTTACTTCATATTGTTAAAGAAGGTATCTAAAAACAACTATATGGAGACAAAGTGAACAACCTGTAAGAAATGGACAAGTTTCTGGAAACATGCAGACCACCAAGACTGAATCAAGAAGAAATAGACCACTTGAACACACCAATCAATAGAAATGAAACAGAATTAGCAATTTAAAAAGACCTCCCTACAAGCAAAAGTCCTGGACCAGATGACTTCACTGGGGAATCCTACCAAACATACAAAGAACTCATACCGATCCTTCTCAAACGCTTCCAAAAGGTTGAAAAGGAGGGAATACTCCCAAACTCATTCTGTTAAGCCACCATCACCCTGATACCAAAACCAAAGACACTACCAAGAAAGAACATTACAGGCCAAGATCACTGGTGAACATAGATGCCAAAATCCTCAACAGAATATTAGCAAACAGAATCCAACAGCACATAAATAAGATCATATGCCATGACCAAGATGGATTCAGGGACACGAGGATGGTTCAATATATGCAAATCAATCAACGTGATACATACACCACATCCACAAGAGAAAGGACATAAACCACATGATCATCTCAATAGATGCAGAGAAAGCATTTGATAAAATTCGACACCCATTTATGGTAAAAACTCTTATCAAAGTGGGTATAGAGGGAACATATCTCAACATAAAAGCTATTTATGACAAATCCACAGCCAGCATAGTACTCAGCAGTGAAAGGCTGAAAGGCTTCCTGCTAAAATCTGGAACAAGACAAGGCTGCCCACTCTCAACACTTCTATTCAACATAGTCTTGGAAGTTCTAGCCACTGCAGTCAGGCAAGAGAAAGAAATAAAAGGGATCCAAATTGGAAGAGAAGAGGTAAACCTGTAACCATATGGGGATGACATGACAGTATAAATAAAACAGCCTAAACGTTCCACACAGAAATGACTGGAGCTGATAGAAGAATTGGGCAAGGTAGCAGGATACAGGACTCACGTACAAATGGAAGAATCAGTATCGTTAAAATGGCCAGTACTGCCCAAGGCAATCTAGAGATTTAATGAGATCCCTATCAAATTCCCCAGGACATTTTTCATAGAACTAGAACAAATAATCCTAAAATGTATATTGAATCACAAAAGACCCAGAATTGCCAAAGCAATACTGAAGAAAAAGAACAAAGCTGGAGTAATAACACTCCTAGCTTTCACACAATACTACAGAGCTACAGTAATCAAAACAGCATGGTATTGGCATAAAAATAGACATAAGGATCAATGGAACAAAACAGAGAGCCCAGAAATAAATCTACAGTCAATTAACCTTCAACAAAGGAGGCAAGGATATACAGTGGAGAAAAGACAGTCTCTTCAGCAAATGGTGTTGGGACAGCAGCATGTAAGTCAGTTAAGTCAGAACACTCCCTCACTCCATACACAAAAATAAACTCAAAATGACTTAAAGACTTAAATATAAGGCAAGACGTGATAGACTTTCTAGAAGAAAACATAGGCAAAGAATTCTCTGACATAAATCTCAGCAATGTTCTCCTGGGGCAGTCTACCCAGGCCATAGAAATAAGAGCAAACATAAACAAATGGGACCTAATTAAACTTACAAGCTTTTGCACAGCAAAGGAAACCATTAGCAAAACAAAATGACAGCCTTCAGAATGGGAGAAAATATTTGCAAATGATGCAGCTGACAAAGGCTTAATTTCCAGAATATATAAACAACTCATACAACAAAAAACAAACAACCCAATCCAAAATGGACAGAGGATCTAAACAAGCAACTCTCCAATGAAGACAGACATGGTTAACAGACATGAAAAAATGCTCAATATCCCTAATTATCAGAGAAATGCAAATCAAAACTACAATGAGGTATCACCTCACACCAGTCAGAATGGCCATCATTCAAAAGCCCAGGAATGATAAACGCTGGAGAGGCTGCGGAGAAAAGGGAACCCTCCTACACTACTGGTGGGAATGCAGTTTGGTGCAGCCATTTGGCAAAACAATATGGAGATGCCTCAGAAAATGAAACAAAGACCTACAGTATGATCCAGCAATCCCACTCCCGGTGTCAATCAGGAGGGAGCTCTAATTCAAAAAGATACATGCACCCTAATGTTCACAGCAGCACTATTTACAGTTGCCAAGACATGCAAGCAACCTAAATGTCCATTGACAGGTGACTGGATAAAAAAGATGTGGTATACTTATACAATGGAATACTACTCAGCCATAAAAAGAATAAAATACCATTTGCAGCAACATGGATGGACCTATAGATCATTATTCTAAATGAAATAAACCAGAAAGAGAAAGAAAAATACCATATGGTATCACTCATATGTGGAACCTTAAAAAAAAAAAGGAAAAAAGCACACTATGAACTAATCTACAGAAGAGAAACAGACTGGCAGACATAGTTAACACTCTTACAGTCACCAGGGAAAGGGGGTGGGAAGGGATAAATTTGGGAGTTTGAGATTTGCAAATGTTAGCCAGTATACATAGAAATAGATTTAAAAAAACAAGTTTCTTCTGTGTAGCACAGGGAACTATGTTCAATATCTTGTAATAACCTTTAATGAAAGTATGAAAACGAATGTATGTATATGCATGACTGGGACACTGTGCAGTACACCAGAAATGGACACATTGTAACTGACTTCATTGTAACTGACTGTACTTCAGTTTTAAAAAAAAGGTTTCTTAAGAAATTTAAAATAGAGGTCAAATTTTCATCTGTGGAATAACTTTACCATCTAAACTG